TTCAGTTTTCATTAGAAGTTTTCCAAGAACTGTAAGTTCCACAAAGCTTTCTTCTTGTACTGTACTTAGTTTCTGTATAGCAATCGTTTTGTTTTTTAGTGCTGAGAGTTTTGTTCATTTGCAGCAATAGGGGAGTTTGGTCAAAAAATTTGTATGTACATGTACATTGTATAATTCATGCAAATCATATTGTTGTTAAGATATTTGATAGGAGTAATACTTCCCAGAAGAATTCAGAAACACAGACATTTCTTATTTTCTACAGCATAACTTAAGATTATCAAATATAACAAATTATTACAAATGATCAAATATCTTCATTTTTATGGATTCACAAAGAAATGCAAATTACTTTTTGTGTAACGGTACCAAAAAAAAATACATTGTGGGTGTTAGTCTCTGCGTATGCCTTCTGAGGATCCAAAGTGATTGTGAATGTTCTGTTCTTTGTGCTTTCATCATCCAACAAATTAAGTCGTAATTAGAAAAGCAGTGAAATGGATCTTATTTCATCTAATTAGAATTATCTTTATTGAGATCTAGATCTAGAAGTCATGTCTGATTTGTGTCCAATGTACCCCTGGGAAGTCCCAAGTTGATCAAAGACGTATGATGTCTAAATAAGAAACATATAACGGGCTGGAGCTCATTAATGTGATGAAATGAGAACATGACTTGGGTAGGGCAGCCTAAGCTTTACTACTCCATCTTGATTAGTGTTAGTCCAAAAATGAGAGTTCCTTATGCAAGGGACGAGGCCTCATTAAATACCATTTATATCGGTGTTAGAGCTTACAGTTGTCCCACATAATTTGCATGGTAAGCTTTGCTCAATATTCCATTGGCACAAATTTTCTTCTAAAGAAAGATGTTCTTGCTCCGGAAAGTAGTTGGGCTTTTCTCAGAGATGTCGGGCCATATTCTGCATTAGAAAAATTCATTCTAAGGTTAGAGTCCAGATCAATATTAAAAGAATTTGAACGAGGTCTATAAAGTGTTCCCTTTGACTTTCTTTCTCACATTGGGCTTCAATGAATAGATCTGTTCACTTATTTTATGCATACATTTTTAACATTAGTTTTTTTTTAACAATTAAAAAGCTTGCCAGAGGCTTGTTTGACATGGCAGCAACAATTGCATGCAATGTGAAAAACATTTGTTAGTATACCATATTGCATAGCAGGTAAATCAAATAGTTGGTCACCAATTTCACCAAGGGTTTGGAGAAGAAACACTCATAAATTGAAATACATTAGTGAACAGGTCTATAATTAAGAGAATGTAGCCCAATAGAAAATGCTAAGGGCAGGGCTTACATAATAATATTCATATTTCTCACGAGATCATTATGATTCATATCAATACCAAAAATTGCAATCTTGTTAAAAAATTATTTTTATAAAAACAATATTGTTGTTTGATATCAAAATATTTGCAAGCTTCAAAGAAACTTGTGACCCCTTTACTTCCCGGCAAAGTCTGGAAATGGGTAATAAAGGACATCCACTTCAGAGGGAAGTCCATCACAAAATCAATTTACTTTTAATTGTTTGTGAGAAATCTGATGAGATCATAAGAAAGTTATGATTTCTTATCTTGTAATCTACATCTAAATCTAAACTTTAATTGACAGTTCTTTGATATTCATGGTGAAATGCTCTCTTAATTTGTTTCTAACTGAGATTTTTGTATAAATATACCCTATTTCTGAATTGTGGATAAAGAATTAGATCTAATTCAGCAGGATGGGTATATGAACATGCCTCCTTTCTATTTTAAGGGTACAGACTTTGATCAAATAATATATTGAGAGAAAAATAGAAAGTTTAGTATATAATTTGTAGGGTAGATATATACATGAAGAGCACTGTTGTGCAAAAGTTTCTGGTTGTATATCGTTCTTACTTTTTCTTAGAGCATAGAGACATATTGTGATATGCGCTATATACATGTAAGTATGGTATATTATTATTATTACCAGTCTGTTATGGCTCTTTGTTTCAGACAATGATTTTATTTGATTATCAATAGAGTCTGTTTAAAGTTGGGATATTTGGCTCTGTCCGACCACTTAGTTTAAGAAGTGAATTTCAGATTAGGTTGAAGAGACTTTCTCAGAAGTTTCCATGTGCAATATTTCACAGTTCGCCTACACCAGACTTGTGGGAATAACATTTACGTGTACAAATTTCACAGGCAGCAAAACTCCTGGCACACTTTGAAATTACTCAGAACTTGCTGGAAAATGTTAAGTCCTGGTTCTGGTCAGGAATTTATGATGATGAATTTTCTTACGAGTTGGTTCTTCTGGAGTTGGTGGAGGGTTTGCGCATTGCGTAAGATTTGTCGGTCACTACCGCCAAGTGCACTCTTGGTGACCGATAACATCTTATGGTGGGTCAATTATTATATGAACAATGTCAAATTCCCCAAGAGAACACTTAATTGTATGTCTCTAGAATGAAATGCTGTCCGTCTTCCTCAGTACTGTGATCTCGGCATACATCCACAGCCTGAGGTCTCGGGGGCTCTTTAACCTTGCGGCAGGCAGGGTGAGTGGGTTGATGCACTCAGTACATGCACATGTATATCCACCTTTCTAATAATAATACAATCGAGAGTGTGAAATCTCACCCTCAGGGTAACATGTCCCAAAAGGCTTTCTTGATTAGTTTCTAATAATTTCCAACAGTTTTGGAGAAATCTAGACACTCTGTAGACAAATTTGAGATAAGAACCGTAATCTAATTTTTGGGTTTATTCGGAGCAGATGTGGTGAGAGGTGTGTGATGTCAATGCTGTGCTGTCACAAAGCTTCAACACTTGTTGTGTGTGTTGTGAAAGTGTGCTCAAGGCATGTATGCTGATTAAGAAAGAGATCTGGATCCGTTTGAGATTTCTGTTTCATTGTTTCATACAGCTGAAGATAGTTAAGGAAATGGGGTCAAGAAATTTATTTGCTGGATATTAAATACTTTTGCATCATAATCAGTTTGGCCAACTTTCAGAAAAGTTTCAGGATATCCAAATTAAATTTGAACTACATGTAGGTTGAATTCTTATAACCAACTGAAGTTTGTAGGCATTAAACACTTGCCAATCATTGTAACAACTGTCCTGCACAAACTTTTACCTACCCCTTAAACCCTGTCCTTTAAAACCCAGTTTGTTCTACAATGTGCTCCACCAACAATTAATCTGTGGTGAAAATAGAGTAAATGGACTCTGACCCCTAACTCTAACTTTATTTCTGAACCTACCTAAAATTCACAATCGCAAAATTAACATTAAACTTTGCCTTTAGCGAAATAAATCCAGAGCAAATGTCATCAAAGCAAAGGTTATAGAACTGCAAATCCTATAAAATCTGTGATGAAATAAACCTAGCGAAAATTATGTAATGCTGTACAGGGGTAATAGTGATTCTGTGCATCATATCACAACTTTATTAAAATATTATCAGTTAAAGATGGTTGTTTCTTACACAAAATAAACGTTAATGTATCAAGTGTGTTAAGAGCCAGAAAGGTGTTAATTATGTACAAAAATGACATGTTTTTGCATTCTTCTGACCCCAAAACAGATGTTCAGATAGAATTTCATATAATTTCTTTTTTATAAAGAGCTTTCACCAATTTTTCCTTTCATAAAAAAGATAGCATTGATTACATGAAAATCCTTTTGCATCGTGGATTACGTGAATTTCCTGACTGACATTAGGATGAGCCTGAGTCCATCCAAAATGACAAACTGATATACAAAAGACCTGAGGCAATAATCATCTTTGATATATCCTACAATGAATCTTAATTGAATTTATATGTTTTACTACTTGTGCTACTCCGTTGAGGATATGACAGCCCCTGCTGCACCCTGAAACTGAAACTATAGCACCCCAAGAAAAAAAAGATTGGAATATATTCACGTGACGGAATATTTCCCAAGGAAAGATTTGATTCACACCAGCCGTTATCTAATTTAGAGCTATCAGAAGACGCGATCGCAAGGCTTTAAAGCTTGTAATTGACCAATGAAAAGAGATTGGAATAATATGAGTAAGAGTGACTGAATGAGTTACAAGAGAGAGAGAGAAATATTGGGCTTAATTGTGTTCATTTTGGTAAATAGGTGAAATTATGTTATCAGGAAACGTCCGTACAAGCACAGCCGCACGCTTCCCTGCTACTCGGTACGCCGTGCCTATGCAATGTTTGGAAGTGTTTTAAGCCGGTAAATCTCGAAGAAATTAAGATTGTCATGATAACTTAAGTAGGTATAATAGAGAAGTTAAGGAAGCCTGAGGCAGATAAGTCGTGATGATAAGTCTCTCTTTGTAAAGGGAAGCTATTGATTAGCTTACTTTTACACCTCAGCACGCTCTGAAAGCGTTCCCACTCACCCTTAACATGGTAGCAGTTGTTCACACTCGTTCAAATTTACTTCTTCCCTAGTTAATTGTGCTTGTTATGTTTTTATTGAAATTCTTTAAAACTATATTGCATTTTTCAACCACATAACCATTTCAAAACAAGCCTTTTGAAAAGTGCATGTCAGTATTTAAAAAAACTATGCTGTTTATTGGTTTCTATTGAATTTTCGCTTTATGAGCTTAGAAGTGAGCAGTCAATTTAGCTGAAGAAAGTAATCCAAAACTTCACCTGATGCAGAAGCTTTGATTTTGAAAACCGCACTTTTGTATACTGTACGTGTGTGTAATTACAATTGTATCATTTCTTTGTCCCTTTTTAATAGGTGTTAGTTTTTGCATTGTGTGTAGGATCATCTATCTATAAGTTTTTGTAACTTTTTGATGATCCAACCACTTCGTAATTACCTTTAGAGCACTTTCGATTTTATTGGCTTATGCATATCTAAGAAATATTTGAATTGTATTCTTTGACTTTGCATGTTTTTCTGAAAGTTGTGAATAAATTCAATTTAATAGTGGTTGAATGTATTTTCACAACTTTGTAATCTTTATAATTTTTCTTTCTTTTCAGGAAGCCCGTAAGAAGAGAGAAGACAGGGCCAAGAGGTTTGGTGCATCAAGCAAAGATAAATCAGGAGAGAAAGAGGAGGAGGAGGAGGAACAGGAAGATATATCAAACGTTGTACTAGCCCCAGGATCTAAAATAGGTAACATGCTCTCTCTCTCTCTCTCTCTCTCTCTCTTTCTCTCTCTCGCTTTCTCTCTCTCTGCCTCTACCCCCTTCCACCCCCGTCTCTTCATCTTTCCCTTTCTTTCTTTCTCTTTCTCTCTCTCTCTCTCTACTCTTCTATTTCTCCCTCCCCCTTTTTTCTGCTCCTTTACCAACTCTCTCTATTTATCTGTCTTCCCCATTCTCACTTTCACTATAATGCATTCAAGTATTCTCTCCACTGCCTTTTCCCTTTTTCTTTCTCTCTCCATCTCTCTCTCTTTCTCTCTCTCCATCTCTCTCTCTCTCCCTCTCTCTCTCTCTCTTTCTCTCTCCATCTCTCTCTCTCTCTCTCTCTCTCTCTCCTTGCCTTTTTTTTTTTATTTTTTTTTACTCATTCCTAGATGCTAACTATGAATACATAATGAAAGAAAGTGAGAAACATGCCCTTCAATCGTTTATTCCCTAAAACAGAATTATCAAGACTCAGTAAAAAGGGGAATATGTCTTTTTGAACGGAACATATATTTGTGATATGTTTTTGAACAGGTAGGAAGAGACCAGAGGGAGACGTACTTACAAGTATTAATCATCATGAACAGCACGACCCGATAACATATTCAAAATAGCATATCTCCCTAACATTTAAATGCTTGATGAACCGTAACTAAATTGTGGATTCAGATTCTAGTTACTGATAAACGTCATGTTTAATAAGCTTAGTCTTGCAAGAATCGGGCAGTCTCTGAAAAACTTCCAAAAATGGGTAACATGTTAAGATCTTCAGAAGATAAGGAGATCTGTCAAATTATGAAAGGAAAAAATAAATCATATGAGTCAGTTTTTATGGGGTATAACAGAGATGAATATTGACATTAATGCTGTGACAGTGATAGGTGGATGTGCATAGAAAACAAATATTATTTCGGTTTGATCCAGATTAGAAATGACATCTTTCTTTTAATCCTTCCCGTTGTACCTCAATTCACCAACGCATCTCAAATAAAGGCATGTTCCCACTTGATAGAGTAAACTGGTGAGGCAAAAAAGAAAATATGTAAATTTTTAATAAATGGAAAGTGGGGATGAGGGAACATTACCTGCATGAAACAGGGCCCTCAAGTTTCTGGTAGATTTAAACTGGGCTCCACACTTTACTTTTTGTGTCAGTGACTCCAGATGACATGAGTCCCCTTTAAAAAATATTTTTTAAAAATTTAAGAGGGGGGGGGGGAGGGGCATGTGTTCCATGTACATGTTTTGATTTAATGGAGACCTTTTGTTTGTTCTTGTCCTCAGTCTTAAATGCATAAACAATTCTCTTTCACTCTTTTATTCATGATTTGGGGTTCTTGTCAAATGTTTGTGAATGACTTGTATTGTTTTATGGATTTAAATTTTGTTAATTATGTAGACTTTGTATTTATCAGTTTTTTCTGGGACTGTTTTTACAAACAGAGATGCCCTCTTTCGGGCTTTTTCATGCTTCATACTGTACAGAACATATCCTTTGCTTGGAACCAGAAGGGCATTAACTCATATACCGAGTTAACACCCTTCTGGCTCTCAACAGACGATAATCATGAGGCTCCAACATGCTTGGGTCACCTTTCAGGTCAATTGGATAAAGTTAAATGGCATCCTTGCACAAGGATATTCTATCAATGAACCAAAATAAAATGAATTTAAAACAAAACACTCTTCCACTTGTTTTGAATCAGATGGTAGTCCTGTTCGTTTTGAAGCACTTCATCTGATAGGCGTTGACGACATGAGTACCCAGGATATCTTCAGCTATTTCCAGAGCTATGATCCGTCCTCTATAGAATGGATCAACGACACATCATGTAAGTATACATATGTACATGTACATTTACTCTTTAATTTCACATACACCGGTAACAGCATTTATTATTCAATTCAACAACTCATAGTTAAGAGGTTGGTAACACATGTAGTAATCACTCCTTGAAGAAATTTGGATTCCAACTTTTAGATTTGGTGTTTAGTAGCCAAGGCTGAATTTTATAAAGTCAGCTGGAAGATTTAAAGGTATAAAGTTTAAGGTATAAATTCTTTAAAGTTCATAACAGATTTTGTGAAATGTCATGCACGCAATATGATACAAATCATATAACCTGGGCAAAGGCATGGGGAAATCAAGTTTTGGGGAATAAAAAGGGGAACTTGATGGGATTAAACTACATAGAGCGATTGGTAATTAGTGAGGACATGACGTCACAAACTAATAACCATCTTGGCAATTTGTGTTGTGATTCTCATTGTTCTATAGTTTTACATACTTTTTCAAAAATTCATAACTTTCTTATTAGGTATCCGGTTTTACTCAAACTTTTTCTGATTGGTTTGTCTGATTTTTCTGCTTTTATTGAAAGTAATAAGTTATTTTTCGAGTGGACTTGTCCTTTAAGTTTTGAGGACAAAGTGAACCTATACTTACATAAGTTTGTAATCCAAGCCCTTAGCACAAACATTTGACATAAAAGGCCCGAATTCACAAAGGAGGTTTAAATTTAACCCATGGTTTAAATCTTTATTTACATAACCCATTGTCAACAATTGGCGCAAAATAAGCGCGACACACTCAGAGGTCCAATATTAGACGCGCGCAAGGCAAGGTACGCTTAATATTTTGCGCTAATTTTTAAACCATGGGTTATATAAATGAGGGTTTAAACCATGGGTTAAGTTAAACCTCCTTTGTGAATTTGGGTCAAAGCCTGCAGCAAGTGTTCCCAGAGCAGATGCTAGATGAACAATGAAGTAGAAAGAGATACATGTATTAAGATCTATTAAAAATAGCCCAACTTTAATTCCTGTTGACAATGATTGCGAGGAGCAGATCTAGACTGTAGTAAGAAGGGGATGGGATGAGTAAGATGGAATGATCAATTAAAAGTGACGAGTGCGAGTCTAATTTTAGGCGGAGTTTGTGGAAGACGAGAGATTGTCATGCTGGGTTATATCCTGATAGTGAGAGCCTATTGACAGGTGGATTGGTAGAAATAGATTGACCAGTATATCTATGCTTGTCCCTGTGTTTAGGTTGTAGCAGGTGCGTACAGTACAGAAAATGAGAAGTAAACTTCATAGTGTTCATACGATGTTTACATGTAGCATAAAGCTATTGGCAATCGGTCAAGGTTATAATCTGTTAAGAGATTTTAGATGTAGTAAGCTGTGGATAAATTTTAAAATGTTACTCCTGTAAAAACCAAAAAAATTCATGGCATGTAGCTTTCACAAATTATTATGGATGGCTATTTTTTTAACGGCAAGAAACTTTTGTGAATTGCAAAAGTTGAGTGTTTCGCCAATTGTGATTCAGTCACTTTTGCAGCATGAATTTTTCATGAACTTTCATAAATTCATATGAACCACTCACAAAATGTTGACTATTTCATGCATATACAAATTTTTGTTTTTCATTGTTAATTTTAGTATGAATGACATGGCTCTATGTTGTAGCTATTTATGAAAATGTTAGCAATATTAAAGACTGTTAGATTTCCCGGAGACTATTTTCTCAAGAGTTGATTTCTACGAAAAATATTTTCTGCAGCTTACAGATTGGAATCATTATTTTGTTTTTAATTGTCCATTTTATGGGGTGGAAACGGCTGATGCTATACCTTTAAATAAACACCTTATGGATAAACATAAGAGTCTGAAATTATGTTGTAGTCGTCAAGTAGGAAAATGATACATGACATGGTAGTGCAACTGTTGGATTTTCATCGGGGGTAGAAGAAAAAATAATTGAATGTCTTCCGTTTCTCATCATCTGTGGTTTGTGTGGCTGAGCAAGCGTTCACTATTAAAAATAGAGAAAAAATGATAAGTTAATTGTGTGTGAGGAAAGTTATCTCTCTGTTAGCTAGAAATGCAGGGGACCCTACTTGTCTATGAAGGGGATGTATTCTAGTATTTAACTAAATATACCCTAAAACAAACAATGGTATGATCCTCTGATCATTGTCAGTGGTGGAAACAATGGAAAGTACATTTTGCCTGAGGGGATGACAGGTTCTTGCGTGCCAGTGCCACCTGTAGCTTCTAATGAGCTGTCAGAAAGAGTTTTGAGTTTAAGCCCTGAATGGCGCAAGACGACAGCCTCTAGAGGAAAACCGCTTTTGACGTCATCTCGGGGAGGAAACAATGCTTTCCGCAATGAAACTTGCTCCAAGAAATAACCTCTTTAGGATAGTAAGCAGAATAAAGGCATTCTATCTATCGTGAGATTAATGTTGTATCGAGAGATAAAGAGATGTGGAGGGGGACGTGGGGAGAGAGAGGGAGAGACAGAGAGGGGGAAGGGAGAGACAGAGAAAGAGAGGGGGAGAGGAGGAAATACAGAGAGGGGGAGGGGAGATACAGAGAGGGGGAGGGGAGAAAAGAGAGGGGGAAGGGGGAGACAGAGACAGAGAGAGAGAGAGAGGGAGAGGGGGGGAGATACAGAGAGGGGGAGGGGAGATACAGAGAGGGGGAGGGGAGAAAAGAGAGGGGGAAGGGAGAGAGAGAGAGAGAGAGAGAGAGAGGGAGAGGGGGGAGATACAGAGAGGGGGAGGGGAGAAAAGAGAGGGGGAAGGGAGAGACAGAGAGGGGAAGGGGAGAGACAGAAAGGGGGAAGGGAGCGACAGAGACAAAGCAGGGGGGGGGGGGAGAGGGAGGTACATACAGCGAGCAAGCGGGCCAGAAAAGAAAGAAATCTTGAAAGAGGGGGAAAAGGGAGTGAGTGAAAGCATTGCATGAACAAGAAAAAAGAAACAATCTGAAAGAGAAATAATCTGAAAGAAAGAATAAAGTCTCTCTCTTAATACTTGTAGTCTCTTGTAAAAAAGAAAGAAAGAAAAGAAAAGCAGTTGATTTGATTATTAGAATAACATCATTTTTATAATGTATATGATGATTTTTTTTTTTTTTTTTTAAATCAAGTTATAAAACAAATTCCAAGTATTGATTTAAATGAAGGCACACTGTATCTCTCAGAGTATATAAAAGCAACAGGTTTTTTTTTATATACAACTAGATAATTTGCTTACAGACTACCAGGTAGAATGTTGATATGTAATTGATGAGAACGATATACTCTACAGCATAAACACCTGATTTGAAGAAAAAATTTGAGCATTAATGTTTGAAGGTGTGTCCCTCAAAAGAATATGAAAGCACTGCTTTTTTAGATCGTGCAACTACATGTAGTTGGTTTATTCATTACGCTTATTTTGTTATGTATTTGATGAGAACGATAGATTCTACAGCATAAACACCTGATATGAAGGAGAAAAAATGTTGAGCGTTAATGTTTGAAGGTGCGTCCCCCGAGAGCATATGAAAGCAGCGCTCTTGTAGAGCGTGCAGAGGTCTCAACACCTGTCACCAGGGTGCATTTAGGGCTGTTTGAGTGGAACTTTGCTCCACTTGCTGCTCACTTCCAAAAACGCTCTTAGCTCTTGTGTTCATTCCTTTCATTACAATTAGTCAGTCATGTAAGCAGAGATTTTGAACGATGTCTCAAGAACCTTCCTATATCCTCCTTTAGTAGAAGATTGTATCTCAGTTCACCCTTCAGACCTAATCGTCATGGGGATGGCTTGTGACATTTTGCAAAAGTGCCCAGCTCCATGTTTGAATGTTTCGTGCTCCATTTCGAAAAACAATTTGTTATGTATGTTTTATGAAACTTCTCAACTTTGAATGCAAGATTTATTTGATAGACAAATGATGAATCTATTTCACAGTGTATAGCATACTTGCTTATTGAAAGTTGATACATACAGTCATGTATGCTTTTTTAGTCACTGGAGGTTACAATTGAAATTTGTTACTGCTTAGAGCCAGAGGGGTGTTAACAAATATACTTCTACAGTAAATCAACATCGTTCTAGCTCTCAGGAAAAACTTATTTTTCAAGGTCATTGATTCGTAAATAATTACTCGGTTGCAATCACTCTTTTGGATTTACCAACAATCATTTTAGGGTACACTTTATTTTAATTTCGGGGTAGATTCACCCCAGGTAAAATGTATGTATTTTTGCTCTTCTAACTTTTTGAATTATGTTCCTTATTCCTAAACAAGAGACTGCGAAACATCTGATATTGAGTTTGGAGTTTGTGTTTATCTAATTGAAAAGTCAGTTTTTCATTTTTAGTTTATATGTAGAAAAGTTCAGACCTTTGCTTACACTAGTTAAGTAATGCAATGTTTAGGGAAGAAAACTTGCAGATCAACAAGTTATATATCAATTATTTTAAGTATAATTTTGTTCAAACAACCACGAAACACAGCAGTAATACATGCTAATTTAAATTAAATAAACAACACAGGACATTGAACTTTTCAGGGCCAGTCCAATCAAGATGTTGAAGCTTTGACCCACCTTCAAAAAATGAAAGGTGTGTTGGGTACAGAAATCAAAGTGTGACTTCCCTCGTATGTCAGAAAGCAAGTCAAGTGCATGATGGGATTGAAAGGTCAAACATATCAATGTCGATCGGCGTAGAGCAATGAACTTATGTTTAACTTACCGAAAGAGAGGGGGGAAAAATTGTTGCAAAGATAAGAAGTGAGTTCCAAAGGCTTTTTTTCGACAAAACAAATAATGAATTGGAAAGTATCGTATTGCGCTTTTCTACGAGAGTTTGTTGCCATCAGTGGCGTAGACAGGGTGGAGATTTGACACGTTCTGTCAACAAAAAAATGATAGCATCAACTGGGAATGATTAATCCCCTGAATGTACATCATGTTTTGGGACCGAGAAAAGACGCAAACGTAATCACGTCTGTCATGAAATTGGATTTTCCTGTGTCATGTGATGTATAG